ACTCAAAGTATAAAAGAGACTACTAGATACTTCTGATTATAATTTCAACTAAAATTTGGAGGTGATAACATTTTCGTTGGATTTAGGAGATCTGATATGATCCAAATAGATATATTTTTCAGCATTGGCAAACTTCTTTTTATTTAAGAGAAAAAAAGAACATTGTATACCAAAAGACATTTCAGAATCAAAACACTCGAAAATGTTTATGATCATATTTCATTAATAACTATCTTTTTTGATGTGAAAAATATACATTTTTCAAATAATTAAATTATATTACTATTTCAAAAAATGTTTCTTGACTTTTTTGATGGAAAAAACAATATAAAAAGTAAGATAACATTTTAATTAGGAAGCTTGAACCTTAGTAATTAGGATACTATCAAAAAATATTGATAGACTTGAATATCAATTAGAATTAACAAAGGATAAATTCTTAAATGATTCATGATATTTTCACATCCTTCTCATATTAAAAGAAGGTATTAATAATTCTTCTCATTACATTATTGGTAAATTTGATAATAAATCAACTGGTCTAATGTCAGTAGCAAAAACAACAATTCAAGTTGTCATCTTTCTTTCTGCCCAATTTCTTAATTCCTCTCTTAATATGCTTTCTAGAGATTTATAAATAAAAAATGAATCGTTGCATCTGGCAATAAATCTAAGAAGCCTTTTTTATAATTTACTGAGTAATTGGACTTGTATGAAACATAAAATGTTTATTCTGTTTCTTTAATCAATTTTCAATATAAATAACCATAATTAAAATAAATGAGCATAACCGAAGATTTTACATTCCCTTATTAATATAAGTACCTAAAATTGTTACTCAAACTTGTTTGGTTCTTTCTTTATTAACTTCTAATTTTATTAACGGATTCATTAAGTTAACTATTAATTATATAATTCATGTTATCATAATGGTAGGAGATCTAGAATTATTTGTAGAGCATATTTTTGATGAACTTCTTTAAGTAGATGACTTAGTAAAGAAAATTTAAAAGGTCAGATGAAGAGATTTTTAAAAGTTCTGACTTCAAATGAATCCAAAACTGAAAAAATTGGTGAGGAATTTGAATAAAAGTACAAAATTATAATCTCATAGGATACTAAAATGCTTTTATTTAATTTTTATTTACAAATGGCTATTTTGAGAATAGAATACTAATGATCAATTATTCGAAGAAGATTAATAAATTAAATCAAAAATTTTTAGCGATTTCAAATCAATTTTATCATATTTTCCATCTACAGAAAATGTAGTTTTAATATTTGCTTATAAAAGAAGTTCATAATAAACAAAAATTTAGACAAGATTTATCATTATGTAATAAATGAGAATTATTAGATTATTATAAGAATGATCTAAAAAATTTCTTTTATTTTTTTGATTGAACATTGGATGTCATTACATTTTCAATTACTGAAATATGCTGATAAACTTAAGTGAGTATCACACAAAATTATTCCTTAAATGGGAAAAAAATTGCAAGCATATTTTAAATCTACACGATTTAAAAACAACTGATTTAAGAACTAGCCAATAATGTACAACAAGACCCATAAAGATAATTACCAACTATACATTTTTAACATGTAGAATTATAAAATTTTTATCAGACATCAATAACTTATTAAGAGAACACACCGATACATTATGTACAAACAGTATCACTTTATAAGATTAATTTTCATTCTCTAAGTTTTACTAAATATAGAATTTCAACATCTTTAAAGGCGTTTTGATTAAAATTTTTGCATTAACTAAATATAACCAAGATTTTGGAGCACTTATCTTTAATTAAAAATTTAATCAACATAACTTAATTAGACAATTTTTCAAAATGTCCAAACTGTTGTTTTCAACATTTACTTTACTTAGAGCAAGTTTGATTTTACTGAGCAATCAAATTCTTTAAATTCTTGTCCTGGAAAGTATAGAATGCACAGACGATAAATTTGATATATCTTGATTAAATACTTCACAAATTATACAATCCTAATAAATAATACCAAAAAATAGTTATCAGATAATAGGCAAATATGATAAACCATAAGAAAGGAATTTGATTTGATTTGGAAGATATAATATCTCAATAAAATATAAAAGATCGTTCTGAATGCTTTCTACTTTAGAAAAAAATTATAGATAACAAATCAATATATCAAAATTAAAATTTAGAATCAAAGATTCATTTTCGTTAACTTTATATTAAATAAAAAAAATATATCCAATGAATAAATAAATTTAGAATTATTACAATATATCTAAATTAATAATAAAATCTAGAGAAACTATTCTATAATTATGGCAGATCATCAAATATGGGTATGAATTAGAAAGCAACCCATAAAGCACTTATGATTTCAGATAATCTTCTAGATTGCTCTGCTCTAAAGATGATGAAAAAACTTTGAATATTTGATATTATTCAAGAAATATATGAAATTAAACATGAATTTTAGAAATTAATGAGATTGATTTTTAACTATAATAAAAATCGATCCCTAGAGAAATTGATAAAATTAATTGATAAATGAGGTTTGATTACTGGAGGTTTCCATTATTGATCTATTAAAAAATCTATACATCTCGTCAATACAAAATTAAGTCTCAAATCACTCCCAAAAAGGAATATTAACACCATAATCAACAATTAAGCAAATTTTTATATCTCCACTAGGTAAAACCACTGTAGTAAGATATTTTAAATAAAATTAAACTAAATTTTTAGAAAGGAAAATTATCCTATAAAATTAAATAAGAGGATTATTTTTTCTGCCAAGAAATTTAATAAAACCTCTCTTCTTTGATATAGTGGAGACTTTAATTAATTTCAAAAATAATAACAATATCTTAATGAAAAGGTTGTATGGAATTAGAGGAAGGATAGTACATTAAATATTTTAGCTGTTGGAAATAGAAAAATTGAAGTAAAATTGTAATTGTTATAATAGAAGAAACTTAAGACAAATTCTCAAGAATCACTTATTTCTTATTAATGCTATGAATTAATAAAATAAAAAAAGATTAAATTTCTTGGTGTTTAATAATACTGCGAATAATAAATTATAAATTGATATATTATAGCTGTATTAGATTTAACAGTGTTAAATTATCAAAATAATTTTCTACAATAGTCATTATA